GTATGGCCCGGGTGTCCCAGGAAGCTCTGGGACACTGCACGCTGGCTCATCTTCCAGAGGGGCTTCCAGGGACCCCGAGGACTGGGGTCCACCAGACCTGCCCTTAGCTCAGTGACACCTGAGACACCATGATGGCTGTGACGACCGTGACAGCTGTGACCGCTGTGACCACTGTGGACTGAGTCACGTCCCCAAATTCTTCTGTAGCAGTCCTAACCCCAGGAGCTCCGCGTGTCACTGCCTGTGGAGCTGGACCTTTAAACAGGCTGTTAGGGGAAACGAGGTCACAAGGGGGCCCTTCCAGCTCGTCCTGGTAAGGAGAGGCCAGGACGCAGATGCGCACAGAGGGATGGCCACGTGAGGACACGGTTTGTTCCGCCTGAGCTGATAAGGGCCGCAGGCACCCACTGCCCCCGCCAGACAGGCCTGTCTTGGCTCAGCCTCCTCGGTGACCCTGCCCTGAGCACCCAGCTGGCTCCCCTAATAGCCTCCCCATCGTGGTCCACCTGAGGTCACTCTGAGCCATCACAGACGTGCAGGGACTGTGTCAGGTGCTCCTGGAAGGCTTCCCCTGGACCGACGCTCCCTCCCCTGAAGCCTCCTCCACCGGCTCCCGGCCCCTCCCCCGCTGGCCACCTGAGCCCTCCCCAGGGCCAGGCTGCTGTCTTCCCGTTGCCTGGAGACCCGAGAGCTCTTGTCCCCCTGGACTAGATGGAGACCAGGCGGCACCGCCACCCTGAGCAGAGGCCATGCTGGGCACTCTGGGCGGCGACTGAGCCCATCCCCTGTCCCCCGTCCCCCGTTTAGGAAGGACACCTCTCTGAGGGGCTGCTGGGAGGGACCAGGGAACCAGCAGGCAATACCAGTGGCCCACCTCCATTCCCGTCCACCTGTGTCCACTGGCCTGGGGGTGTTAATGAGCCAAGGGTGCCCAGACGGTCTTCCACAGGGGCTCTCAGAGGGGCAGTCAGGACTAACTCAGGGACTGCCAGGCCACACTGCCCGGGCGCACACGGGGGCTGCCTTCCTCCACAGGACTAGCCTGGGGCCACACAGGCCCATGGGCCTGGGTCTCCCCCTGGCAGGCTGCCTTCCATGGACGAGCCTGTGCACATTGGCCTGCAGAAATGGGTCCCCCGGCCTCTGGGGTGTGCACCTGCCCCATGGGCATGCTCTCTGCAGGGTTCCTACCTGTGAACCTGCCCCAGGCTTGGGGCCCTGCAGGGAAGGGATCGCTGTGTCCGGGAGCTGGTGGACCGGGCGGCTGCCTCCCGCTTGGTCCTGACGTGTGACGCTCCGGAGTGAGCAGGAAGGGCCTCGGCTGCAAAGGCTGCTTCCAGGAACAGTGCCCTAGGCTGCCCAGTGTCCACCAAGGACAAAGGCCCTGGAGCGGTGCCAGCTTTAGGACACAGCTGTGGACATGAGTGGGACCACCTGGTGGGTGAGTGGTGGCCGTGCCCCCGAGCTGGCAGGGCGAGGGGGTCGCCCTGCCATGCCACTCGTTTGGCAGAGAGGCTGACGGGCAGAGGAGTGGCAGGGCGTCCCCGCCGAGAGGGGCTGCAGGTGCCCCGATGGGGCCATGGCCTGGGGAGGCCGAGGGGCCATGAGGAGTGGGCGTCATCTGAGGTCGGCGAGGGTGGCCCTGAGCTGGAGGAGGCATCGCTGAGCAAGTCCCGAGCTTCGGGAGGCATCGCTGCTGAGGCTGTGGTCTGGCTTCAGGGCTGGTGGCTGCAGAGGCCGTGGGCCATGGATCCTTGTCACTGTGTCTCGGGCGTGCGGTGGGGCTGCGAGGAGGGTGGGCTCCGGGTCTTCCTGGACTCGAATGTTTCGGTTGTTGGCTTGTGTTTAGGTTCCCAGAGGGGACCCGCGTGCCCACCCATGGGGGTGGACACTTCAGGGGGACCGGGGGGACAGAGCCCCACAGTGACCAGGGGAACGTTGTGGGCCAGGCCCCGTGGGGCACTCCCGCTGCTGTCCAAGAGAGGCACGTACCCTAGAGCTGCGCCCCCCGCCGCTGCAGACGCCCCAGGGCGATTGCTCCGCTGGACGGAGAAGCTGGGCTTAGTGCTCGGCGGCGGCGGGCACGTGCCTCCCGCTTTCTCTTTCACTCTCGGGGCCCTGACTGTCCCTCTCCCAGGTCACTGGCCTCCTTGCGGCGGGAGGGTGCCATTCTGCTCCTCAGAGAAGCCTGTGGACGCTGAGTCATAAGCCGCTCGCAGCCACAGGAACACAGTGCCCGGTCACACAGCCGGGCCCTGGCGGCCGTGGGGGCCCGCGGGTCTGGGGAGGAAGTCCTCCTTTCCCTGGGTGTGCCCGCGGTGGAAACGCCCTGCAGACGGAGGTGCCCTTTGCCCTCGTCCTCCCTGCAGCCCTTGGGCCCGGGCGGGGTGGCTCTGCCGCTGCCTCTTCCCTCCCCTCGTCCAGCCCTGCCTCCCGGGCTGCCCCAGCTCACCACTGACCCCAGGGTCCCACAGCTGTCCCAGGGGAGCAGCCCCGACCCCATCTGGTGTCTGGCTGTGACGCCTGGTCTGACCCAGCTGCTACCCTAGAGGGTCCACTCACCTCCCTGCACTGGGCAGCGGTGGGTCCCATGGAGGCGCAGAGAGGATGCCGGGGGAGAGGGGACTGGAGGGTGATGCGCACTCCTGGGGGGGCAGGAGCGACACCCAGATGAAGGAGGGTGTCTGTTAGGGGGTGTCGCCTATCTGTGCGTGTACATGTGTGCCTGTGGGGCTGTGTGTGTGCAGGTAAGTGTGTATGTCCATGTGTCTGTGCATCTGTGTGTGTGCGCACCTGTGTATTTCTCTGTGTGGGCATATGTGTCTCTGTGTCCATGTGTGTCTTGTGTACATGTGTGTGCATGCATGTCTGTGCGCATGTGTGTTTACGTGTGTGCGTGTCTGTGTGCACATGTGCACGTGTGTTGGGGCTGAGTTGGCCCAGGTGGGCAGCTGGCCTGGGTCTGACAGGCCAAGGCGTCAGCAGGGACGGGAGCGGGAAGTGGCCTGATCAGAAGGAGGCCGTGGGGCCCTCCCAAGGATGGGCTCAGGGTGAGGAGATGGGGAGCCAGGCCTGGCTGAGCAGGGAAAGTAACTTTCAGGAGAGAATCAGGGGTCCTGGGGGCAAGGAATGAGGTGCTGACCCCACTGCACAGCCCACCTCAGGGCAGGGACACTGTGGACATCACGGGGTGGGGGTGGCTGACAGTCCCACAGCCGCAGGCACTAGAGCCGGGCTGAGGGCCTGGGATGACTCGCTGGCCCCATGCTGCGCGCCGAGACCAGAAGAGCCTCCTGGTGACCACTCACCGAGCCAGCTGGACCTCGGGCACCTAGGGGGTGGGTGGGACCTGCAGGAGCCCCCCACTGGCTAGAGCTTTCTTTCTGTGGTGAAACACACAGAACATAAAGTTCACCCTCAACCACTTTTGTGCACAGCTCAGTGGGGTCAAGCACAGTCACACAGTGTGCAGCTGGCACCACCACCTCCAGAAAACTCTCGTCTCCCCAGAGTGACAGGGGCACCCATTAACGCTAACTCTCCGGCCCCGGCTCCACCACCTGCCTGCTGTCTCTGTGACCCCGGTTCCCTGGGTCCCTCAGGCAGGTGGGGTCCCGCTGCGACCGGCTGCTTTCACTGAGCATCACGCCCTCGGGGTCCCCCAGTCACTGCAGGCGTCAGAACTGCCTTCTACTTTCAGGCTGCATAACATCTCCTTGTGCGATCGCACCGCACTGTGATCGCCCACCCTCTGCTGATGGACACAGGGTGGCTCCCGCCTCCCGGCTCCCGGGAACACGCTGCTGTGAACGTGGGGGCGGTTATCTCCCCAAGACCCTGCCTGCCATTCTCCTGGGTAAATACCAGGCGCTGGATTGCGAGATTGCGCAGTGATTCTGCGTTTAATCTTTGAGGGATCTTCACACTGTTTTCCACGTTGGCTGCACCGTCTCACATTCTCTCCAGCAGCGCACCGGGTTCCCATCTCTCCACATCCTCGCCTGTTACTGTCTGCTCTCTTGAAAATAGCCACCCTAACAGGTGTTGAAGTTTGGAACACTTTGGAACCGTGTCACTGGCCCGGCATCTGGGAACTGGAGCTGCGTGGGGACTAAGGACTGGTTACCCCAGAGCAACGCCAGCCCGGAGCTTCCAGGGCATCCGGACACTTGCTCTCTGGTGGCCGGAGTCTGTCCTGAGAGCACCCGTGGTGCCGAGGGCTGGGCAGGTTTGGGGCCACCCCCAAGCGTTCTCTCCGCCGCACTTGTGTACCCCCAGCCAGCCTGTCCAGGGGCTCACTGCCTCTGTTGGCCAGGGTTGTAACCCGGCTCACCTGGGAGTACTCGGGAAGGTAAAGACAGAGTGACAGCTGGGCCGCTGAATCCACCGTGCTTCCTGGGCCAAGCCCCCAGTCGCTAAGTTCTCTGAGGTTCCACCGAAGAAGAAAGCTTGAAACTCCAAGCTGAAGCTGAGGACCGTCTCCAGGTGCTTCCCGGTGATGCGGCTGTGGGGATGCCGGCAGCGAGCGCCCCCCAGTGGCAGGCCAGCACTGCTCTCAGAACCTGCCCTGGAGGCACTTAGCCAGGCACCCTTGCCTGTCTTGCAGCAGGGCCTGCTGACTAGAAAACAGATGACCACGTGCACTTGATTGCTGGGCTCCTCTTGTCAAATTGTCCCCGGGTAGGGGGCTGCGGGGCGGAGTCCCACGAGCGCACGTGGAAGCCTTCTGCCCCCTGGGAGAGGCGGGCGGGCGTGGAGGCCTGAAGTCAGGGCAGGCTTGTCCGCCTGCACCCCCACCGCCACCATGTATTGCAGCCAGACCCGCTGATGACGCCGGGCGCTGGGAAAGCTAAGTTTCAGACAGCCACAAGCAATTCTCATGGCAGGCGATTTGTGGGACATGCATACCCAAAAGCTCGGTACTTACCTGAAATTCAAATGTGACCAATGCCCTGTGCTTACCTGGCCACCCCCCTACTGGTGCCTGCACCACGGATGTCATCCTGGAGTGGCTTCAGGACCTGTGGAGGGAAGGAGGCTGGGACCTCGCATAGCAGAAGGGGCCTGAACTGATGGAGGAGACGGGGGGCGGTGGTCCAGGGCCACTTGGGAGCACAGCAGTGTCCAGCCTCCTCTTGTGACCACCTCCCGAGGCCCTGTGAGCCCTAGAGAAGGCTGGACGCTGGGACAACTGGCGAGTGTGGCCCAAGGGCGGGTCCAGGGAGCAGCTGGCGTCTCCATGGAAAGGAAAGAGGAGAAAACAGGACTGCACAGGTGACCTCCCGGCCCACTGGTTGGCCCTAAGTCACTGTCACTTGGGAGGCTGCCGCTGGGCTGCCTGCCTGTGAGCCCAGGCGGCCCAGCTGGGGAGCAGGGCGGAGCCAGCATCATACCTGGTCCAGGTGAGGGCCGCGAGGTGAGAGAGGTCAGGAAAGACCCCAGCTCAGAGCAGGCCGGGAGCCCCCGGGCCATCTGCCTCTGCTGTCCTCAGGGTCCGTGGTGACCACCAACAAGGAGGGTGGCCGTGTGGGGCTCTGTATGTTGTGAGGCCAGCAAGGGGTTGAGTTTCCAAAATCTTCCACGTGTGGTTCCGACACTGGCCTCCTCCTAGGCCCTCCATTGCAGGCTCCAGCATCCAGGCGTCCGGCCTCCAGGGGGCCGTGGGGCGAGTGACAGGATGGCCAGCAGGGGGCGGGAGGACTGCGCAAGCCATCGCCTCTGAGTCAGGTCTGAGTCCTGCTGCGTGGCTCTGCCTGCAGCCTTCTCCTGTGAGGCCTCCTGTCCTCGGGTTGCTCTGGGCCCCCGTCCACCATGCTGTACCCTGCTGGTCACCCATGGTTTCTCTCAGATGCTGCCCAGAGGCCAGGCATTGTGGAGGTGTTCCAGAAGCTTCCAGTCCAGCCTCACAGCCCTCACTCCCAGACCCTCTCCCATCCTGCTCACCCTACAGCTCGACTCAGGGTTGTCTCTTCGCCATCCCCACCCCGCCACCCTGGGCCCACTGCAGCCCCCAGAACACTTCCCTGGACACATTTTTGCCAGGCCTCTGGCCCCCACCATCTGGCTCCCTGGACCACCCTCCTCAGACTGACCTGAGCTCTGCCTCCCTCTCTGCCAGCTTGGGCTGCATCCCCTCCTGTCCCCTTGCCCTCACGCCTGGTGGCCCTTATCCTCTGCCTCCCCCTGCTTCCTCCCCAGGCCCTGGAAGCCTAGGGGTTCTCTCCTCGCACCTGTCCAGGTGTGTCCGAAGCTGCACACAGGGGTGGGTGGAACCCCCACCCCTCCCCGCACCACCCGACTCAGGGTCCACCAGGTGGAAGGCCGGGCAGGTGGGTGGAACCCCTCCCCCCACCACCCGACTCAGGGTCCACCAGGTGTCCACTCTTGGGGGTTTGGAGACTTGAGCTGAGCCCCTCCCTCCCTCACTTCAGTCTGACCTTCCACTCTGCTGCCCATTTGGGGGGGTCCTCCCATGTGTCAGGGCTCAGGGCCCCCATCAAGTTTCCCCTGACCCCGCAGAGGCTCTTCAGACTGGCCTGCCCACCCGGGACACTTGCCGCGGGGGCACCTCCTTCTAGCCAGCCTCCCCTGGGGGCCCCGCCGGTCACCTGGTCAAGTGCTGTGGTCTCCGGAAGGTTCTGAAGGCTCTGGAGCTGCCAGTCGGCCACCTTGATGCGGCTGCAGAAGGCACCAGACGAGACTCCTGTGAACCACACAAGCACAGTGTTAGGTGACTTTTCAGCCCACCTTCTGAAACACGCCCAGAAGTGAAATTGTGGAGGTGCCATCAAAAGCTCCTTGGGTTTTTAACTCTCTCTGCTAGGGGACGTGGAGATGTGAGCCCGGGCTGCCCTGGCGCGGACGCCCCCCCACATGGGCTGACCTTGCCCCTGGGCTCCCAGCCAGGAGTCGGTGACAGTGAGCAGCACTGCTTCCCAGCCTCTGACGACCGCCGACAGCCGGACGTCTTTTCCTTTTGAATCTCCTGGTTTTTGGGGCAGAAGAGTAATGCCGCGCTTGGAAGCCGGGCTCCCTGGTGTTTTCGAGTGTAATCTCAGCCGAAATCTTTTATTTCCTTCCTGTGCAACCTCGCGGGTCGCAGCCCACTGGAGCCGACGCGGAGACTTTTCCCGAGACCGTGGCCCCTGGGCGCTCCCGCGCCTGTTCTGCGGCGGCTTTGGAGACCCTAGCCCGGCCCCTGATTGAGGCCAGTGACGCTTGGGATGCAGGCGTCTGGAGGCCACCCTTCCCGCTGCGGGGGACCCTGGAGGTGATTCCATGATCTCTTCTTACTATGTGTATCAAGTTCTTAAAACTACCGTAACAAATGACCACAAACTGGTAGTTTGAAACAATATAAACACATCCTCTCAGTCTGGAAGCTACAACTCCTGAATCAAGTGGAGGCCCCGGGGAGGGTCTTCCTGCCTCCCTCCTCCTGCCCCTCCTCCAGCCCCGCATGGCTCCAGGCACCCCTGGCTTGTGGCTGCATCCCTCCACCCCCAGCCTCTGCGGACACTTGACCTCCTGCCCCGAGTTTCTCCGGTGACTCCACATCTCCTTTTAAGGCCACCCACTGTGTTGGATCAGGGCCCCAGAGTCCCCAAGCCCTGGCCTTGCATCTGCAATGGCCCTGCATCCAAAGAGGGCCCCCTCTGAGCGTCTTTGGCCCTCTGTGCGCGTTCTGCTGTCACTCTCCTTACGCGTGCGTGTGGTTCACGACTTTGTCTCCGCTGAGCTTGGTTTTCCCGTGTGTTTGCTTCTGCCCACTTGTTCTATCCGCCCTGAAAGCGTCTCAGACTAACTGTCCGTGTGGAAGCGCCCGCTTCTCGCTGGAGCGCTGGCAGGCCTGCCGTTGGGAGCTGAGGCGTCGGAAGGGCTCGCCTCCCACGGCGCCCCGCTCTCGCCTCCTCTCGCCTCCTCGGCTGTCAGCGTGAGCTTTTTACTTCCCGGTTCTCTCCCTCTGATACCTGGTCAGCTGCGCTTTCTCTCGTTCCCTGGGGTTGCCCTCTGCTCGCCTGGGGAAATTAGCACTTTCTCCCGGAGCTCAGGAGCGGGGCCTGCCCCACCTCCCGACGTTGCTGCCTGTCAACTCCACAAACCTATTTAACGCTTCACCGCTTGGACTCGCACCCTGGGCTGTTGCTGGCTTACGAGGTCCGTGTTCTGCCGCGTTTCCTCCACCTTCACCCTCTGGTTGTCCTGCGCGTCTGTGCTTCTGCTGGGAACCTCATTCCAGCCGCCTTCAGCTTGGGAGGGACTCTCTCAGGTTTCAGCCACCCGGAAGCGTCTTCATTCTGCCTTCCTCTCCGACTACCAGCCACGTTGCTGGGGTGGAGTCTGGGCGGCAGCCGCCGGCCCGCTGGCCTCTCCGGCCTCCGGGCTGAGGTGGCGGCGCCTTGCTGGTTCACTTCTCTGCTCCGTGGCCCCATTCTCCTTGGAAGACGAGTGTCGCGGTTAGCCAGTCTTGTCCCCTGACTTTGCCTGCCTCCCTGCTCACTGCTCCTGTGATCACAGGTTTTGGCCCGTGGACGTTGTCTCCGAGAGCATCTGTCTCTTGCGCTGGGCACAGACTGACTTGGTGGTTCTGAGCTGTGAGACCCGCTTGACCTTGGCACCCTTCAGTGGCAATCAGAGCTTTTTAAATGTATTTTTAGCTCATTGCCCTGAGAAAATAGTAATTAATGACTTGCACTATTTACACAAAGAAAGCTGTTCTTACAGACACAGCTGTCCCCACCAGCACCACCCTCGGTCTGCTCTCATGTGAGTCAAGCCGAAGTTTGAACGAGGTGATTAAACCAAGAGGCAGTTCCCTAACCTGGAGACGGTTGATCGGGCATCCCTCCCTCTCTCTCCCCTTCGTGGAGAAGAAAGTGCAGAAGAAGAGGTGGTTTGGTTCAGTTCGTCAAGCAGATTTGAAGTTTAAAACATGCAGTGACGCCTCAGCCAGTTTGGGAAACATTTCGCAGAATCGAGCCTGCGGGCCCCCGCCCCCATGCAGCCCCGGGTCCACGGGGCTCAGACACACACGCGTGTGTCCCATGGAGACTCAGCCCGGAGCCCCCAGCCCATGGGCGCGGGCCTCTTCCCCAGCCACAGGACCCCGGCTGTGACCTTGGGACAGGCCTCCCTCACCTTATCTGCGCTGTGGGTAATAATAGGGCACGAATCACCTTCCTGGGCGCCCGAGCGTGACCTGCTTATCTCCCGGCTGCGGCGGCCGTTTAATTTAAATGGTTGTGAAGTATTTTTGTCTCGGCAGTGCTGGAACCTAGAGGGTCCAGGGCGCAGCCAGCGGAAATCAGCCCCCTTCCTCTGTCCACCGAGGTGTCTCCCGTATCCTCCCAGAGTCGTGTGTGTGTGTGTGTGTGTGTGTGTGATTCTTACAAAAATAGTAACACAGTATATACGCTTCTGTTTCTCACTTAGACAAGCACCCTGGAAAGTGTTCCACACCACTTGACAGAAGGGAAGTCACGTAGTAAAGAAAATGTGTTCACAACGGTCATGAGAAGGAAGCAACCCAGGCGTCCATCTGTGGGTGATGGACAAACACAACGTGGCCCGTCCACATGCAGAATGTTATTCAGCCTTAAAAAGGAAGGGACCTCTGACACAGGCTGCAGCAGGGGTGCACCCCGAGGACGCTGTGCTAAGCTGGTCACAGGAGGACAAACACTGCAGGACTGCCCTTACCCGAGGGTCTGGAGGAGTCAGATTCATAGAGACCCAGAGCAGACGGTGGTCCCGGGCTGGGGAGAGGACGAGGAGTCACAGTGCAGTGGGGCGAGCCTCAGCTGTGCGCGACGAGACACTTCTGGAGACCAAGGCAGCGATGCTTGTGCGCCGTGTGGGGAGAGGTGGACTGAGGCACATGAAACATTTTCGTGGTGGAACATGGATTCAAATCTGGCAGAAGTGGTTGGGGGGCCCCCCAACAGGGGCGAGGGGGGAGGCTTCTGTGGAGAAGGTGGGATGACCTGATGGCGGGAGCTCAGATGTGGCCCTCTCGGGGAGAGGGCTTTCTGTGACAGCGGCCCTGTGCTGGTGACTGTGACAGTGGCCCTTGGTGATGGTGGCCCCCGTGATGGTGGCCCTCTCGCTCCCTGCACGCATGACATAAAATTGGCCATGTTAACCGTATATGAGTGTGCAGTACAGTGGCGTCAAGTCCATTCACTCCTGTGAATGTACAAGGAGGCCACAGGGCGGGGTCACTCTGTGCTGGCCCTGCCCGTGCCCTGAGTCATCTCGGGCCGGGCTGGGGGTGGGGGGGTGGGGGGAGCCCAGGGGCCTAGGCGCTGGGTCAGAGATAGCAGAGGGATGGCAGGGTAGGGGAGATACTCGGCCCGGAGCCCCGTGGCCTGAGAGTCATTGCTGTTCCTGGGGCCTGACGGCTGAGCCGGGACTGGCTGCCTGGGCCCCCAGGGACCTCGAACACGGGTGAGACACAGTAGTGTGTGTGGGCAGCGGTGGACGGAGGGGTAGCTTCAGACATTTCTACACGGCCAGCGGAAGTGTATGCCTCTCCAGCGCTTCTGTGGGGCTGACGGCCCTCGGGGAGTCTGGGGACCGCCGTGTGGGTGCCGGGTGTCTGGGCTCCAGCCGTGCCCCGTGGACAGGGTTGGGAGAAGGTGGTGGCAGCTGTGGGTCTGGTGTCTGCATCCCCAGTGCCCAGGGGCTTGATACATGTTGACGTGTCGGTGGCACCTCTCTCATGTTCTGCCAAACAGAGGGTGAATTCTTCCAGCTCGCCAAAACCTCTTTACCTCCTCCGTGTACAGTCTCAGGTCAGGAGCAACACTTGTACTTTCACAGATCAGACTCTGGTTTCACAAGAAAGAGGCAGGGTCCTCCTTTCTGGGCCAGTTATAAAATGCTGCTCCACCCTCTTCGGGAACAGTCTACCCGTGGGGGACGGTCTGGCGTGCTCGTCCCCAACAACGGCAGGCCGCTTTCCTTTTTGAAGATTTAAACAATCGTGTCTGTGATCGCCGAGGCTGCGAGCCTCGCGGGAGTTGGGCCTGCCTCTCTCCCCGCCCCTCCAGCGCTGATCTGGACCGGCTCTGCCTTCCCGGAAACCAGGCTGAGGCCCGCCAGTCACCTCGCCACCCCTGGAAGAACCCCCAAGATGGTCAGCGTCTTTGGGGTTTCAGCCCAGTTTGTTCTGAATGTGGTCACCCAGGGCCCTCCACTTTCAAGACCATGGCTGAGGACTCACCCCAGCCCCCTCGGGCCGTGCTGGCCAGGGCTCCACCTCCTGCAGACGCATCCTCACTTTCCCAGTGGGGTGCACCCTGTCTCCAGCGGGAGACTTCCCGAGACTGCCCGTGCCCAGAGCGAGGTCCTTGGCCCTGGCGTCAGGGTTTGTCCACTTGTCCGGCTCCCCGTTGCCTTCCTGAACACCCGTGCTGTTACTGCGGAGGACCCCGCTGGCTCTGGCGGTGGCTCCCCGCTTCACTTAGCAGGCTGCGTTCTTTTGCTGTAGTTTTTGGAAAGCCTTTGTAAAGTCCTCAGGTTACAGGGAAAAGTTCTCCGGGCGGGGCCTTAGCACACTCTCATCCGGGCTCTGGGTCCTCCTAGAGGAGGACAGGCAGGAACCCCCTTCCAAGGCTGCAGGCCCAGCTCTCCCCACCCCTGGCCAAGGCTGTGTTCCACTCAACCCCCACCGCCCACTAGACACCCCCACCTCCCACCCTCCCATCCCTCAGCCGAGGCTGCCTGTGCTGCAGAGGGGAGGTCGACAGTTCCGGGGACCCCGAGTCAGTCCCAGGTTCACCCTCCGTCCGACTCTGGAGCTGGCTTCTCAGTGCCGGTTCAGGTGGATCTAAACCCATTTGGACACTGGTGTGGACTTTCCTCTGAGCTGACAGCAAGCATTTATCCAAGACTCATTTGAAAAGAGATGACTTGTGGAGCCAGAAGGGGAGCTGGAGGACAAGACGGCATTTGGGCATCTCAGACTTTAGAGATACTGGAGCCTCCGCTTCGCTCCAGCTGGCAGCGTCCTGGGAGAGAGGCGGGAGTGAGGGCACGGCTCCCACGGCACAGAGCCCGAGCCGGCCGTGAAAGGGCTGTGACTCCTCTCCGGCGCTCGAGTCCCGGGCTTTCTAGCTTGCTCCTTCTTTTGATGTGATCTCCTTCACTCTGTAGGAAATGAAACCCAGCGAGGTCTCAAGGGCTCGGGGTCTGCAGCGGGGGTGGGGGTGGGGGTCCCACCTGGGCGTCTTCAGATCCAACCTGACAATACTTCTTGGGGGTCTGCCCCCTGCTCCTCTGTGTGCACCCCGGTCCTGGGGGTGGTGGAGCAGGGGGGCGAGCCCGAGGCATCCCGGAACTGGGAGTGGGCCACTCGGCCACAAG